TGCGGTTGGCACAGGATAGAGCAGGGTTTAGGGCTGTTGTGCATAGGGTCGCTATGAGTCGGAAACGACTCGAGGGCACATAACAACAACAACAACCTAATACCCAAGTCCATACCCCTGACCAAATGCTATTCAGCTCTATTTTGTCCATATTCTACAACTGGCAGCTATTATTCATGTTTTTATTATTAAGTCATAATAAATAACACTGAGTATGTGCTAACTCTAACTTCTCTGTGCCTCGGTTTCCAAGCAGTAATCTGCCTGGATTATTTCTACAGTTTTACAATAACTTCAACTTTCTCTGTGTCTCTACTTAAGATGTAATCTCAGCATTTCTTAACATTTACAAGTCACTGGATGCCTCTGTTTAAAACGACCTTTTGCTATTCTTCGTTTTCCCACCTCTGAGTGACTTGTTAAAACTTTAAGTGCACCAAATTAATAGAATAGACAGTGATAATAAAAAACCTGTACAGCATCATTTTGCACACACAGTCTAATACTTGCAAACATAGTGATTCCTTCCCCTGAGTGTCTTACCGGACTTTATAGCTTTGCAAACACATTTTAGCAAACTTTGAGGGAGTCAGGAAATAAAACTCTGGTAACAAAAATGCTCTGGTTTAGCTGGTTAAGTCAGGGTAAAGTTTAATTGAGAAACAATTGATACTAGCTCCCATGAACAAAAAGCTTTCTTGACATTTCCCCTTCACTTCTGTTGATTTAAGTTTCACCAGTAAATGTTCCACCTGGACCATTTCTGCTCTCCACTGCCTATGCCTGCTTCAAGCTGCACCATCTGGATTTTATTCACAGAGTGATCCTTCCCCTTTGGTCCCAAAGTCACTAATGGCCTTTCTCTTCAAATTTAAGTGTGTATTTTCTTCATCTTTATTCAACTCGACTTCTCTAGAACATTTGATTAGGTTGACCCTCTCCCTAACTTAAAATCCATCTCCATATTTCCTTAAATACCATTACCCTAATTTTTATACTTCTTTTGCCTTATTCTATCTTTATTGGTTACACATGTATTTATTTAAGATCTACTATTGGTTAGGCAACATCTCAGGCACCAGGGACAGTAGTAATTAAATCAAAGCCCCTCATTACAGAAAGGTTATACTGATGGGTTTTATCTCTATCAAGTTCTTTATTAAACCTACCCAGATCCATGCACAGCTCTCTCCAAGTTTGTCTTTACTTTTCAAGAGTTCTTCCATTCTCAATATTTTCAGCAACTGCTTTCAAATAAATCAGTTTGAAATTGGATAGATATTGGGTTCAAATCTTAAATTCAATATTTATTGTCATTATTACCACAGTTCATGGGAGCTCTAGTGGTTTAGTGGTAAGAAATTACACTGTCAACAAAGGCACTCAGTTCAAATCTACCAGCTTCTCTACAGAAGAAGATGGGTAATCTCTTCCCATACAATTTACTGCTTCTAAAAACCCAATGGAGAGTCAGCTATGAATTGATTCTGACTCAAAGGTACGCAACGACTAAAAGCTATTGTTCATTTTGTGTGATACTTTCTCAGTTGTTGTAGTTGGCTCTTGGTATTCTTTTTAATCTATATAATGGGAATAACGATAATCATAAGTAGGATTTTGATAAGAAGCTCTGTTAGTGGAGTCTAGAGTGTGTTGTAGTGTAGTGTAGAGAGTTGTACCACTAGCCCAAAGGCCATATGTCTCTGATGGTTGGAATCCACCAGCGTCTCCCTGGAAGAAGGATGAGCCATATCCTTCCTTGGAATTGACAGCCTTGAAAGCCCCAATGGATGGATGGTCAACTATTGGTTCAGACATCATGGCAATGACCATGAGGATGGGTATGATGAGTTATGATGGGTGATTTAGTCCATACAAATTTACACTGCTAACCAAAGAGCTTCGTTTTTGGCAGTTAAATCAATCTGTGGTTCCACAGGAGAAAGGTAGGTTGTCTTCTCCTGTTAAAATTTACAGTCTTGGAAACCTGGTGGAGGGCTTCTATTGTTTGGTATTATACCCGGTGGCAGTAAGCTTGAGTTCTGTGGATTGTCATGAGATTAAATGCTTTCTCTCATTGTGGTCAAGTTGAAGCCAACTCATAGCTGACCCTCTAGTAGGTTTTCAGAGGCTGTAAATCACCTGGGAGGAGATTGCCCATCTTTCTCTCTCAGAGCAACCAGTGGATTTGAACCACATGTCTTTTAATGGCAGCACAAGTCCTTACTCACTATGAAATATTAGATTAGAAGATACATTTAAGTAATTGGATTATAAGCCATTTAACAAATACAGTCTTCCTTTTTATTTTCTTATTCTTACCCAATTCTTGTCATGAATCTACCTATAAGATTAACTCTAACTGCTCAAGAGATATTAGCAAAAATGGTGATGCCAATTCATGCCAATCCCCTTTATTATGTCTGTGTTACCACAAATTCTAAGTGTCCAAAGTTTTTGTCATTTTTTGTTGTTGTTGTTGTTGTTGCATCACTTTCTTTCTAAAATTTTACCTCTACCCCTATTACTCTTTGTGGTTGTTGTTGTTGTTGATTGCCTTTGAGTCAAGCATGACTCATAGTGACCCTATGAACAAATGGCCTAAAACCCCTCTACAACTATCTACATTTATCAAAGTTCATAGAGTTTCTGGAGGCATGTCTTTTAGGAAGTGGGTGCCACTCCTGCTTCCAAATTACTCTTTAGATCACTGAAAGTAATAATTGTGGACAGGTATATCTCATCAATCTTTCAGAAACAATTAACTGAAATATTTAGCCTTTTGAATATATGATCCATAAATTATTCAAATTTACTTTTGATAACAACCCAATTATGGTATGGAATAGATACTCATAAATGCTTGTTGAGTGGCAAAATGAATGAATGAGTTAAAATCGAGGAAGACAAAAGAATAATTAAAGTTACATTGAGGATAAAGAGCAAGTACAGAAGACTAACGGGATTAGAAGAGGAAGAGATTTGGAATAGGGAGAGGAATTCTTAATTTACTTTAATTTTTGGGGTGGGATGATAAAGGCATACTTGTGAATGACTGTTGTCAGTTTAGAGATAGCCCTCAGGAGATTGTCTGGCCTATATTCTATGTGTTCACATAAAAGCATGTCTCTTGTCAATCTTTCAATCTTAGGAAGCTCTTGGACAATTTGTTCTTTGAGTGACAGTTCTTGCCACTGTTCTCCTACCTTTAAGTAATTTGTGATCCAGATAAAATGCCTCAGGGAAAACATTTGAGAGTCTCCCTTAATTAGAGCTTAGCTCTTTGCCCACTCAGGCTGCCTGCCGCTGTTGCCACATATCCACACCTATATCCACCTTCCAAAATGCTGAAGCACACCATTCCCAGGGGAATGATGTTCACTATAGCAAGGCTCTTGAATAATCAAGCTGCCACACTGATGAACATCAATTACATTGATTACTCTCCAAAGATAATCCCATTACAGATATGTTATGCTCCTAGGGTAGACTCTGGGGGAAATGACTCCATTTTTAAATAAATACTATTGTATTTGGAGTAATTCAAATAAGCATATGTCTTTTGAAGAGTTGACTAGCATTCCCACCAGGGAAAGAAATGTCACAGTCAGAAGGAATACAGTACGTCATATTCTCTTATTGTTCATGACTAAAACTCACGCAAATAATGTGTTCCCCATATGCTGGGGACCAAATTTTGCCTCTAATGTATTGCTGAGCCATCAAGAATAACTATAATATTATACAAGTGTATAAGCAGTAATTTACACTGATTTGTATAGTAATTACATGTGATTTTTAAAATACTCCTTTTTCCCCCAAAGCCTTAATTCTTATTGCACTGCCATTTTAGTTTATTTAGCATTTAAAAATTCCTGGTCTTATGCTTTGGCAATAACATGATCTAGAATGATGAAACTTTCATAATATTTTTAAAAGTTGAACAACATTTCATTTCACTGTTTTTTTTTATCATGTTTTACAGTCTGAAACTTAAAATGGAATGATTTAAAATGTTTATACACAAAATATAGAAATTCGCCAGTAACAACTCAAATGCTAATCATAAAATGGAATAACCAATAAGAAGCCTAACTCAACCTTTTTCAAGATAGCACTTTGATTCTTTTTTATCCCTAGACCTAAAACCCTATTTTATTTAGAAACATATCTGATACGTATTCCTTTAGAGCAGACACAATCATCACCTGGCTTTCTTTTTCTTTCCGGCAGGTATTTTGCAACATGGATATTAATGGGGGAGGCTGGACTGTTATACAGCATCGTGAGGATGGGAGTCTGGATTTCCAAAGAGGCTGGAAAGAGTACAAAATGGTAAGATGGGAGAATTGACAGCACTTTTTTATGTTTTATCATATGGTTATTTTACTATGCTTTGTGATAAAGTAAAAATTCTAGAGGTTTTCCAGTTGATTATAAACTGATGTACATTAATGCCATTTTCATTAGGCACACAACACTCATAAATCATGTTCAGTAAATTATTTCCATATGAGCATCAGAAAGATAAGTGTATTCCTGAAATTAGTGGGTGAACTGTGAGATCTTGTCTGGGCTTGGTTTCTAGATGGTTGGTGGTGAGGAATCTAGAACTCAAGCCTAAACCGTGGTGCAGAAGTTAGGACTCTTTATTACCGCAGGAGGGAGCTGATCAGAACTATAGGTTGTACACAGAGGTGAATCTATAGGTGGTCTCATTCCTATGTCAAGCACGTTGTTGCTGGCTTTCTAATGTGACCTTTCTACGGGACTGATTAGGTTGAACTCACAATATGGTAATCCAAGGTAAGCAGAAATTTTTTGAATTTGTGTAGCTCAAACTCCCAGCTCATTTAAAGGCCTGTTAGACCTCAAAACAACATTGATTAAAGTTGACCAAGACTGGCCCGTATCAAGATGAGAAGACAGGGGTGTGAACTGGAAGATGGGGTTCGTTAGGTGCTGCTCTAAAAACAATTGTGTCATCGTCATCACCCTCATAGATAATCTTTTTAATACATGATATGGATCCTATGCTTAGGTATCCAAGCGTAAATTCATAGTCATGTTGGTGCAGTCCGTAAGGGATTGCCTTAAACTAAAGAGCAAGCCTCTTAGGTGGTTCAAATCCAGTGATTAAAAGAGAGAAGGATGAATGTCTCTTCCTGTGCATTTTGGAGCCTCAGAAATCTGCTGGAAAGTCAGCTATGAGTAAGCAATGAGAATACATGTGTGTGTGTGTGTGTGTGTGTGTGTGTGTGCGCGCGCGCACGCGCACATACCCCCACACTTACCTACTATCTTATTACCAGGCATTTTACATTTACAAAAATAGTAAATAGCATCAGTTTCACATCCCACTATTTTGCATGTAAATAGTTTGTGTCCATCAGTATTGAATGCCCAAGGTGAGGTGAGAATAATGCAGCCTACAATAGTTAAGGTTATGTGTCAGCTTGGATGAGCCATGATTCTCATTGGTTTGACAGTTGTGCCATGATATAATTTTACAGTTGCTGTAAGTCTTAGCAATGGTACTTAACAACATAAAAGATAATAGTACTAATTGGTTTTTTATATTGGTATTTGAAAGATGGAAAGATTTGTTTCATGATAACCTCATCTTACTGGTTGTTGGATACCAAAGAACCAAGAATGATGCACTTAGTCTACAATAATTTTTTTTTTTATGTCAAAAAGTCCACAACTCATTGCCCTTTGCCATTGGCTAACAACATATATATGCTTTCAATTTTAAGATATTTTTCAATCTAAAGAACTCATTCTAGAATATGAAAACAGAATGAGAAAAGTTTGGAGCCTCTGTATGAAGGAAGTGAATCACTGAAACTGTTTAACCTAGAGGAATAAAAACGAAACCAAATTGAACCTGAACCTGATAGTATTTTTAATTGATTGAGTGGAAATATGTGCTAGTCAAAGGCTCTGCATCTAGAAGCATATTCTAAAAGTATGATCTCAAACTCCATTCCAGATATAACTAAAATACAATCTGTTTGTTAACAGGATCCCCTAGAAACTTGCGAGCATATTAAAATTTGAGGACCATCACTTTCTAGGGCAGATCCATTAATGAACAGAAAAACTTGTCTAAGTCTGGACAAAAATATTTAATGATTCCTCTTTTCTAATCATGAAATGAGCCATTTATTAAGTCGTTAAGATTCCTGCTTCAGTGTAAATGCCCTGAATATTATTGTCAAGTGTTCCAGTGTACTATGGCTCATAGAGACCCTTGCTTTTGTTATGTGCCATTAAGTCATCTGCAACTTACCACAACCCTATGTGCAATAACTCTGAAGCTTATCTTGTCCTCATCCAGTCTCATTCTCTCTGACACACCTGTTTTCATTACACTAGTCACCGTGTCAATCAGCTATCTGGTGTCTTCCACTCCTGTGATGCCACAATTTCACCCTTCTAAGCATGATGCCCTTCTCCAAGGACTGGTCTTTCCTGGTCACAAGCTCAAAGTATGTGAGGTGGAGATTCAAATTCCTTGTCTCAAAGGAGCATCCTGATTTCACCCTCTCCAGGGTAGACATGTTTGTTCTTTTGGTGGTCAATGATATGTTCGATACTCTTCTCCAGCAAAGGCATTGATTTTTCTTCTGTCATCCTTAGTCATTGCCCAGCATTCTGATGCATAGCAAGTAATTCCGAAGACTATGTCCTGAGTTAGGTACACCATAGTCTCTGACATTGTTGCTCTTTGGCACTTTGGAGAGATCCCTGACAGAAGATTTCCCTAAAGATATTTGTCTTTCAATATCCTGACTGCTAGTGCCAAGAATGTTGGTTGTGGAGCTGAGCAAGACCTTACTAACAGCATATTTAAATCATGCTCTATCACGCTCCATCCTCACAATCTCTGATATGCTTGAGCCCACTGTTAAAGTCATTGAGTCAGTCTATCTCATTGAAGGTCTTCCTCTTTGACCCTATAATTTTTCTTGGGGCTGACTCCTCCTGATATCATACCCAAATGACATAATTTCCCCATCCTTGCCTCTGAGAAGCACCCTGATTACACTTCCTTTCTTGTTCTTTTGACAGTCCATGGTATGTTCAATGCTCTTCTTCACAATTCCAAAGGAGTCAAGTCTTTCTTTGACATACTTATTCATTGTCCAACTTTCAAATGCATAGGAAGCAATTGAACATACCAAGGCTTGCATTAGGGCCACTTAAGCCTTTAAACCAACGTTTTAGAAGCAATTGACTTTGTAGAAGCCACATCACCATCTTTTTGGAATATTACACTAAACTGTAAGATTAGGATACAGCCTAAGGCCTCTCTCTGTTTCTTTAGTTTTAGTATATGAAGGAAAAAAGATAATCTCATTTCTTAAAGAGAACTTGGAATGATGACTTTATTCGCAATTTGAGTATTTTCTCTGCCGTTTACAAATGGTATGATCTTTGGCAAATTAATGAGCCCATACTTTAGCTATCTACTATTAAAGATGGTGGTAATTCTCCCCTGCCTTGCAGGGATGCTGTGGGATTAGAAATAATATAAATAAAGTATTTGGCAAGCATAGAGTTTTCAATAAATGGTTGCGATTATTATTATCCAAGATTAAAACATCAAAGACTAAAAAGTTTTGCTTAACCTTGCCAAAAAGGAATTGTGATCCACTTTCACATACGGTTATTTTCAGCTCTAAAATGGGATGTGAAAAGACCATCTGAAATCACAGATACATATCCAGGCAAATCTGATATACATTATTATTAATTCTAATGATGGTAGAAACATGAATCTAAAAATTGTCCTTATGAATTTCCAAAATAATGAATTATTAGCTGTAAATATCTGCTGCCTTGGCTAGCGAGAAATGTTAAGTAAGAGATAGTGACATGTGAAGTATGTAATTGATTCTTGTTTTTTAAGTATTTACCGAATATATTTCTTTTTAAGCAGTTCTCTCTTTTGTCGCTATTGGAATAACAATTCTTTTTAAATCAGAACTGTTATGGAACCTATTCTCACGACTTCCCTTTGTAAATGAAGACTATCCTTTCATTCAAACTACAAGAAATACATCAGCTGCTTGCCAGTTCTACAGGTCAGAAAGAAAGATACACTCCAAGATTCTGAGGCATTTGGTTAAAAATTAGCCCAATGACAGTCAAAGAACTCAGTATATATTACAACACTCATCCTCAGCACGTGGTAGAAAGTGTCTCAGTTTTTTCCTCCAGAGCTTTCTTTCACTTAAAGACACATTAGCCTGACTTCACCACAAAAGACCAAGGACTCCCTATGCCATTTCTTTTTTTATTATTATTTTTATTTCCATTCATTCATTATTGCACTTTTCTCCCTGCCCACCCCTCCTTTCCGGTTTGTTCTTATCTTTGAAAAGTAAAAGAAAAAGTCCTTCATTGTTGTACAATCCCTACCCCCAGGTTCATTCCACTATGCAGGCTTCATTCTGGACTCCTGTCATGACAATAATACCTGATCATATGTCCCTTTTAAACTGTTTCTCCCTCATCTGTTTCAATGCAGTATACATTATTTATCCCATCTTTTGCAGTCTTTCCCTAATCCTGATGTCAGTCCTGTTTTATAGCAGTGGCACTATGCAATATTTGTCCCTTTGTGACTCAGCATAATGTCCTCCAGGGTCAACCCATTTTTAATATTTCGTGAGTTCCTTGTTTTTCAATGCAGCATAGTATTCTATTGTGTGAAAATACCACACCTTCTCTATCCATTCATTTGCTGATGGGCACTTAGGGTGGTTTTTTCCAACTCTTTGCTATTGTGAACAAAGCCACGATGAACATAGGTGTGTATATATCTGCTTGGGTGGCAGTTATGGTTTCTTTGGGGTATATTCCCAGTAGTGGAATTGCTGGGTCAAATAGTATCCCTATTTGCATCTTTTTGAAAAAGCACCATGCCACTTTCCACAGTGCTTGCACCATTTTACACTCCCACCAACAGTGAATAAGGGTTCCAGTTTCTCCACAACCTTGCCAGCATTTGCCATTTCTTATCCATTACAATGCTGGATGTGTGAAGTGCTAGCTTTTACTGGTTTGCTTTTGGGGGTACATCGTTTGGGAAAACAAGTACCATTGTCCTTCCAGTCTTGACTTAGCTACTTTTTTATGCGCTCAAACACCTTAAGAAGCTCTGGTGACATGATCCACTCATTATACACAGAGCTGCTGCTAATGGTTGCCAGTTCAAATTTACCAGTTGCTTCATAGAAGAAAGATGGGCTGTTTTTTCCCCAACAGTTACAGCCTCTGAAATCTGATGGAAGGCTTCTCTGAGTCATAATTGACTCAATGGT